CAGAAGCTTGGTCTCAGCATACCATGGTTGAACGGGAGAAAACCGAACTAAGGATAGTTCGGCCTACTCTGTGGCTCAGCATAGCCAGTGTTATTTCGGTCACATAGAAGTTCGGCAATGGTAAAAACCATCCCACTTGGTTTAAGCAGTGGGGGAGGGTGTAAAAGGATAAGCATTATCCTTAGGAATATGAATCCTAGGAGGACTCTGTATGGAGAAATAAAAGTCCTACTAGGATTATGCCACTCGAAACCTATAAAAGCTCACAAGCACCACCTTGGAGGAGGTAATTGAACACAATTCTTTCTGAGAGCATAAAACTTTGTCTATTTGTCAAGCTTACTGACTTAGGCATCGGAGAGGTTTCCAGCACACACCCGTCGGCTAGCTCACGTTTGTGTTTTCAGGTGATAAAGCGACGTCGTACGGAGGAGCGTGGACTTGGTCAACAGAATTATACGAGGAGAATTATTTCCTCCCCGTACAGAAGCCAATGTTGATTGTATGAACATTGATACTTTGTCGAACAATAGTTGTCCGAATTATATAAATTTTATCCAGCAATGGTTGTCCAAGCATGAAGATTATAAAACTCAAATTAACTTTGCAAGCACTAACATGTTTAACAATTTTAGAGGATCAATAGAGAAGAAAGCGACAACTAATTTTTTAGATTTGTGTCTTGTATTTGAAAAATAAATTGTAATGACCTTTATCCAATGCACCATAAATTGTTATGGTTAGATAACTCAAGATATCAAGCATAAGCCATTATGATTTGTAAGGATTTTGAATTTTTGAGTCATATAATTATGTTATAGTATATATATATATATTTTTATAATTGGAATACAATTGAGTTTAGTAGTTTAATTTTTTTTTTTCCATATATTGCGATTAGGGATGTAAGAAAAATTGAAAAAACCAACCAAATCGATTGAACTAGTCCAAATCGGTTATATTTTTTCCATTTTTAAAGTAAGAATTGGTTTGTGTAATTTTTAAATTAGATTTTTTTCGATTTTCAGTTCAATATCGGTTCAAGCACTTTATGCACCAAACTAACTCGAAACTAACCGCTTTAATATATATTGTATTATAATATATATAATCTAATAATATAATGATATTAATAAGTATAATAAATTATCAACCTTAATTAATTAGCCTTATCATCTTCATAACATAAGTTTGTAAACCCTTATTATATATAATCTTAATTTTAACTTATTATTCTTAAAACCTTAGTATTTGCATTTTTATTTTTTAATTTTTTTTTGCTAATCTAGGAATTGAAAATTATTTATTAAATAAAAAGAATGGAAATGTTTAAAATGGTGGACAAATAACTAATTTAGTATTTTTTTATAGATTGGTGATTATATTTAAAAGTGACTCAAATTTGAAAGGTCCTAGACCGATTAAATTGCACCGAATCGAACTGTTTCAATTGGTTCAGTTCGGTGCAATTTGATAAGAGAAACGATCTGCATCGGTATTTAAAATAATAAAACCGATATTATCGGTTCGGTGAAATCATCATATATATATATATTATTAAAAGTAGTGTTTTTCTTTACTTATGTGGCACATTATAAGAGTTTATTTTTTTCTAAGACAATCACGTCAATATGTATTTTCTTAATTACATATAGAGTTCTACACAAACTCAAACATAATTTAAATTATACCAATTGTACCTATTCTATATGGACTCTATTTGATAGATATTTCTTTTCCATATATTTTTCATGGTAAATTGAAATAATCCATAAACTCAATACCAATTTTGCATTTCACATCAGTATGCTTTTTTCATTTACTTATAAAGTTATACACAAACTCAATTTCAATTATAATAATTAATTTTATATGGACTCTATTTGATAAATACTTATTTTTCATATATTTTTCATCGTGTATTTAGTTTTGTCATTGGTATATTTTTCTATATAGTCGATATTTTAATTTAATTATTATGATATTTGATTTTTTTTAATCTCGATATGCCAATATAATTAAATAAGGCAGAATGTGCTTAATTATATGCATCACATCAATCAAATTAATTTTATTTTATATTTTTTGTTTTTTGTCTATCTTATTGATGTCTTAATATTAATTTATATTTAATTTTTTATTTAACATGAAATTATTTATTAAAAAATATTTATATTTAATTTAAATTTTATATACCTATATACAATATTATATAAAATATATATGAAAAATTCAAAAAGAATATTAAAAAAAAAAAATCAATACTTTACATATTTAATTTATGTATTTTCTTCTTAATTAGAATCAATTTTAATTTTATATTTCTAATTCTCTTATAATTTAAATATTATTTTTAATATCAAAATAAGTGTTTATTTACTATCTTATAATTTAATATATATCATATAAATCATTATATGATAATTACACTTTTAAAGCACAATAGAGCTAATATTATCAAAATAAACAAATAATTTAACTAAATTTATTATATTAGATATAAGTATTCAACTAACATCTTTATAAAACAATAGGCTAAGATTATTAAAATAAATAATTTAAATTTAAATTTAAATTTAAATTATTCTTTTTTAACACATATTATAATACAAAATAACATTACATTAATTCAAGTTAACTCCGTTGTAAATTTATGTCAGACATCATATTTTTAGAAGTGATTTACATACATGTGTAGCGTCAAATTTAATATTAATTGATTAAAATAATGGAACTCAGATTTTTTTGATAAATTTTAAGAAGATAAATAGACAAATGCCAAATGATAAATAGTGTGGAGTATTATTTTAAAGAATAATGATTCATAAAAAATGATTGTATATATTTAAGGCACCTATTAATGTTTCTTAAATAATTTTTAAATAAAATTTTTGAATTTATAGTATTATTGATAATGTACCTTCATGAGTTCTGCTAGAAAAGATATGTAAAAATAATTTGGTTGGAATAAAAATTTTGCGATTATTATGATGTGTCACACAGTTAATCAGAATCCCTTTGAGAACTGAAATTATTAAAGTTATAGAGATTTTGTACTTGATTCCCTTTGAGAACACTGTTTATTATTTGAATTTATAATTTTATATATATCAATGTGAATAACTTTTACGATCTTATTGATATATGCATAAATCTTACATTTGAGTCAACCCACTTTAACCACTTTTTTCATGTAATAAAATATTTAAATATTGTTATATAAAAGTATTATAATAAATCATAATCAAACACCATTTGAAGCATAATTAAAGGTTCGATGTAGCAATTTAGACATAACGAGAGACACAAGAAATTAGCAAAGACCTTTTCAATTAATAACCAGAATAATATATCATGAGTTATAACTAAGTTATAATTTGTATATGATAGAATTTTTCGTTGTTTTTATTATTCTTTTTTAAAATATATATATTTTGATACAAATGGAATTCATGATTTTTGATAAATTTGATTAACACAAATGAGGTTTTGATTTTAGGTTGAGAATACACATTTTTTTTTTAAAAAAAAAGTTTGAAATAAATTATTTTTATGAGCCTATTTTACATATCAACTATTAGCAAATTTGTTTGTAGGCTTTCAATTGTTAAAATTTTTTACACATAAAGTATTAAGATACAAAAATAATTTTTCATTTAAAAAATAAATTTCCGTAAATCGCACAGGTCGTCTACTAATTTTTTACTTAAATATCAACCGAACCAATTATTTTCTTTTAAATTATCATATCATTCTCTATATATTTTTTTACATATCTTTTCATAAAAAATTATTAAAATAGCATGTTCCCAAACAATGAGTCCAAAAAGTCTAAAAAGTTAAAAGGGAAGCTTGTTTTGTTTGAGTTTTTTGAATTCACTATTCAGAAAATTGAAACTTTTTTTATTTTCCGTATTTTTTTTATTTTCACTGAATTTTTAAAACATTTTAAGCAATTTTTTTAATTTTTAAATAACCCAACATAAATATACTTAAAAAGTATAATATTTGTGATTTTTTTTAAAATTCACTAAATATATAAAAAAAACAAAAAAAATATGAAAATTCAGTTCATTTTTCATATTTTTTGTGTATTTATTGATTTTTTAAAATAATTTTTTTACGAATATTTTACTTTTTAGATACATCTAAATAAGGTGCATTTAAAAAAATAAAAAATTATTTAAAATTTTAAAAATATTCACTAAAAATAAAAAAATACGGAAAAATAAAAACTCAATTTTTAAAAAATTAAATCCAAAAAATTAAAGCCAAATATAGTGGTAGTAGGGGAATACAGAGTCTACAACAACACTGCTTATTTTATTCCAAATTTTAATAATTAATAAAACAATTTTTTCAAATTTAATGTCAAATAATGATTATAAAACCACTCAAATGTTAATTAAAAAATACTTTTCCTTTTTTTTTTTTGTTTTTTGACCAAAGCATGCACATCTGAAGGAAGCATCACAAACCATTTATCCAGTTAATTTGAAGCCCCTCAATTCTTCTATTTATGTCCCACCCCCTCATTGCGTTTGAGTTATTTCACGTGGGATATAGCTTATTCATATTAGGATATTAATCATTTTGTTTGATTTCAATTTTCATAATTTATTTTTCAAATTTTTTTATTTTTTGTATTTTTTTTGTTTTCATTAATTTTTTTAATGTTTTAAACAATTTTTTTAATTTTTAGACACACCTTAACATAAATACACTTAAAAATAATATTTGTGATTTTTTTAAAATTCACTAAATATAAAAAATACAAAAAATAGGAAAATTTAATATATTTTTCGTATTTTTATATACTTTTTAATTTTTTAAAATATTTTTCACAAATATTTTACTATTTAGATACATATAAGTAAAGTGTATCTTAAAGAAAAAGAAAAACTTAAAATTTTAAAAATATTTACTGAAAATAAAAAAAATAGTAACTATAAAATTGAATTTTTAAAAACCTAAAACCAAACAAATTATAAGAGTGAAATTCACCTTTGTAACCAAACAAACGAGGTCTCTATGCACCCGTCAAAGACACCACACCATCGCCAAAAAGAGGAGGAACCACAGATGGAGAGAGAGACGGTGCTGAATGATGTTCGAACTGATTTTGGAGAGAGAAATATATATGTATGTGTATGTATTAAATTATAATAATATGCTTTGAAGGTGATCAATTGTGAAGACGGATTGAAAAATCCTTCAACAGAGAGCGTATCAACGATAATTCATGTGACTGCCCTGAGGGCGCCGATGAGCCTGGTATTTATTAACCCATGTACTGTTTCAATTCAAATGCATGCTTATTGTGTTTAATGTCCAACAATAATCAGCTAATGATTTTAGCAATTGAATAAGTTCTAATGGGGAATGCTTGCTCATTCTGTAATCTATATTTGGTTTATGGGTTTGAATTGACTGAAGTTTTTAGCAGGGTTTTTGTGTAGCATTTTTCAATGTTATCGTTTTCATTTCCGGACAAAGAAGTTTGATTTCTCCCTTTCATCTTCTCTGAAAATTGGGGAAAATCCAACTAAGTGCAAATAGAAATTTATCTGTTGCGTAAAAAGTTGTACTTTTTGTGTTAGTTAATGAATTTTTTAAAATGAATTTAAGAAAAATAATTGAAAAGAAGAGCAAAATAAGTAATTCATAGTATTGTAGTCTTTGATTTTTTAAAATGGACTAATCATTTGAGGCAATGAAAAATGGAATGAAAAATGGAAAAAGGGAATAATATTTTGGGATTTATTTTCATACATATGATTATAGCGCTGTCTTTGTCATGTCATGGCCTAAATTTTGGCGAATCTACATCGTGCTGTATCCATGTCTCCTCTCCAAATTTTATTTGTCTGGACTTTATTTATTTATTTTTTTATCCTTTTGGTTAAGGATTAATTTTTGTTCTGGCTGCAAGATTTAAGTAGTCTAGACCAGTCATTTTTTCTTGAATTTATTACAGTAATTTATTTTCACCTTTAATATTTCCTGAGATCTTGCTATTCCTGTTTACAAATTATCATACTCTGCTGAAAGAATCCCAATCCTTAAAAATATTGCATTTTTTATGGTTTCTATTTTTTTTTAAAACCTTCTAATGTTTAACATCTACAAATATATGTTAACTTTTCTGTTTCGTAACTCTTTCAGCTATGATCACTGGATGAACTAAACATGACTGCTAATGCTTGCTGGTTTTGATTTCATCATAACACACATGGTTCCCCATCCTTGTATTAACCCTGCAATTTACAAGATGTCGACTCCAGTGTCAAAAATTGGTGCTTCTCTTTATCATTTTCGCAACTCTTTCTTCCAATTTTCTTCCATTCGTTTGATCACTTCATTGCACACACTTGAAGAATCTGTCAGAGCAGCAGTTGAAGCCAAAACATACCAGGAAATTCCTGAGCTTCTCATTGCCTCAAAAGGTTCTTTTCAACACCCAAATCCATTCTCATTCCTCTCCACCTTTACCCAGCACCTCAGAACCCAAATCATTGATGAAATTTTACAATCTTTTATCCTTCTCAGACCCCGGTCACATGGTAAAGTTGCCTATTCCTGCCTCCTCTCCTACACCTTACAAAGCCCTAACCCTCTTCCTCTTGCTCTTGCCATTCTTCAGCGCACTCTACGAGCCGGCTGCATCCCTGTTCCCCAAACTCTTCTTCTTCTTTCTGCTGCATGGCTTGACCGGCGCCATTCCCAATCTGTCTCAAACATACTATTGGAGATGCAGTCAATTGGTTATCGCCCTGATAGTGGCATTTGCAATTACCTTATTTCATCACTCTGCGCTGTTGATCAGTTGAATGAGGCAGTTAAAGTCTTGAAGGGCATGAGTGGTGCAGGATGTGTTCCTGACTTGGAAAGTTATGATGCTGTGATTGGTGCAATGTGTGCAGTCAGAAAGACCACTGATGCGGCAGAAAAGATGAAAGAAATGGTGGCAAAAATTGGATTGACGCCACGGCAGGAAACGATTGTGAAAGTAGTCTCTACAATGCGGGCAAACAAAGATATTTGGAGAGCAGTTGAGATGATTGACTTTTTGGAGAAGGCAGGGTTCCCTGTGGGGTTTGAAAGCTACGAGTTAGTGGTTGAAGGGTGCTTAGAGTGTGGCGAGTTTGTTTTGGCAGGGAAGGTTGTAATGGCGATGACAAGAAGAGGGTTTATACCATATATTAAGGCACGGCAGAAGGTAGTTGAGGGGCTGGCTAGTGTTGGTGAACAGGAGCTTTCCTCTGCTGTGAGGCAGAAGTTTGTAGAATTGAAATCTTAGCTTCTTGAAAATCATTTGGGTGGTGTGATTATTGTGAGAAGCATTTAATGTTACCGTCCTTCCCAAGCTGTGCAATGTATGTCATTTGGTGAGTGTTCAATGTTCATCATTTTTCAACATCACAACCAAAGAGGAGATGGGATCAATATTCCATTATTTAATTGAGTAAGAGATTTACAGTTCTGTACTTTTTGAAATCTTCTAACAGTTTCTGTAATGTAAATCCATTTTCTGGGACATTATCATGTCAGATTTCATTAGTGTATGGACATATAAGCTGAAGCTTTGGTGGACTTTAATGATGGCTCTTTTTTGATTTTCCCTAAATTGTTTATTCTCTTCTAGTAAAGCTATTACTGCATGACCTCTATATGCTTTCAGAATGTTCGCAGCTATGGGTTATGTTTGCGTTTGACAACATTGATTAATGACATCTCATCCATCTTTTTTGTGCATCCACTTCCACCAATTTTCAATAGCCTTCTGTGGTAGAATGACGTTGCATTGGTCAATTTTCTTATGAAGTGGTGACTGAGACTACAAGGAGCTGTTTAGCCTGTAGTTGTTAGAGATTGGACTCCAGCATGCACCTTTCTTCAACAGGTAAAACTTTGTCATCTTGGTACTTGTAATTTAGTTTTGATCTGGTTCAATCTGATTACAAATTTACGACCAGTAGGTGATTGGGAACATAGGGTCTGTTTTGTACCGTTCTCATTTTCGATATTTTTGTTTTTTGTTTTCACTTTTCGTGTTTTCAGAAACAACACAATAAAAAGTTTGAAATCATCCATAGTTTTCGTATTTATGAAAAACAATTTTTGAAAATTCAAAAAATAACTTAAAATTGTTTCCCAAAAATTTATTTTTTTTCCTCCTCTTCTCGAAAATAGTTTGTCTGTCAATTTTCCAAAATGAATTTAGTGTATTGTAGGTTGGTGCTATTAAATACATTTGAATTCTGCATATTGTGTGAGTTGATTCACTCCATCTCTCCTCCGCATTTCTAAAGCCATTGAAGTCACACATTCATTGCCATACTAAATGCACTGTAATCTTAGGTAAAACTTAATGGAGTGGGTGCATAATTTTTCAGAGAAAGTGAAGACGTTTGGCCATCTTGGATTATAGTCTTCTTAAGCTATTTTATGACAATCTTCAGTTGACGCCAGTGGCTGATATCTGTTGTTTAAACCACTTCTATAATTCTGGAAAATATCCCTTTGCATAAAAAATGGTCTTTTTAGTATGAATTCTGAATATCTCTTGACTAGCAGACCTATTTTCATTTGTGTTCATGGAAATGTTTGGCAACAATTGTACATGAATACCAGTACTACTTGCCAATATTGAGTAATCAGTAACTGCAAACCCATATAACTTGAGTCAGCAACATCTAGTTCATTCGTAGTTGATGCCAAGAGAGACATCTAGTTTGTTGTTGGTGGACCCAACTTATTCATACTTAAGACATAAAAATAATTATCCTAAGGAATTTAAGCCAAATTTCATCATTCAAGTGCATGAAAGCTAAATTTCATCAATAAGGTGGTTCAAGCCTTGACAGGGTAGCTGGCTTCCATGGCAATGCCACAAGTACCCCTTTTATCAGTAGAACCGCGTTCCATCCTCACATAACCTGATTCACCCCAATTACTGCCCCATGAGTTCTTCACCAGCCAGTACTTATTTTGCCCATTATTTTCCCCATAGCCAACTATTATTACTCCATGATTTAGATCCTCCCCGCAGTGGGCCGAGAAGATCCCTCCAGCATAGAGCTGAAATGCATAGCCACCAGCATCAATTCCTACTGATACAGGTTGTTTGGCCACTGCAGCTTGTAAGCTGTTTTCATTGTTTGAAGTTACGTTTACATAGCCACTTATTGTTGCTATATGATTTGCAGCTTTGGTTTTATCACAATTGCCATTTATTCCTTGATAAGGGTATGCACTTTCGGCTGTGATGCCACCATTGTTTTTAATGAATTCAAATGCATTTGCCATATATCCACCATTGCAACCTTTATTGCCAGTCTCGACATCACAGTCCATGAGCTCTTGTTCTGATAGGGACACCAATTTGCCCGTTTTAATCTTGGTAAGGCCTTCCACAGCTGCAGTTGCAGAGAAAGCCCAACAACTTCCTGCGATGAAAGGTAGGTAAATATTAACGTCTGTCACTCTCTTGTACATATGCAACCTTTTATATTATGACTGAACAGTGAACTCTATAATCTTGTTTTCTTATGCAATTGAGCATTCTGCTTTAATCCAAGTATGATAATATCTGAGTAAAATTTATATTCTATTTGGTTTTGGGGCATGATCTATTTGTGTTGGATACAACTTGACTGAAAAATATCTTATAATGACTAAGAATTTTTCTAGTGGCCTATTTCAGACGCCAATTGCAAATTGCAATAATTCCATCTCTGGAATGCTCTCTTGTTCCCTAAAGAGTGCTGAAAATCGTACTGTAGGAACTTCTAATACCACTGCTTGATGTTTACCAAGTTATTTCTCTGTAAATCTATACATTATATCCTGAGGTGAAGATCTTCCAAAGATCATGAAAATTTTCATAGGAGCCTATTTCAGACTGTAACTGTGAAAAAACTTGGATGTGAATTATGTAACTCCAAAAAGACCTCTTGTCCTATGGAGCAGTCGTTAAATCTCTTTGAATAACATTGTAATTCCTTGATGTAATCTAAATTTAACTTCTCTAGAACTCTAGACATTTTATCTAGAGGATTAAAGATACAATAATTACTGGTTGGTTTCCCTCTAAAGATTTTTTAGCACAGTTATATTCCTGTTGTTTAGGGAGAAGCATGAAAATACTTTACCACATTGGCCTTGATCCTTGACTGGAGTCACAGCACCTTGCTTTCTCCAGTCCACAATGGTCGGCAAACCCGTACTTTCCTCGTATCCAAATCTCATCCCTGTAACTGAATGACCAGTAGTCCCTAGACCCAAGTAGATGGATGTGAACTCCTCATTTGTCATGTCTGCAAATTTGTTGTCTACGAGTTTGAATGACAAGTTTTTGGAATTGAAATGTTCAATGTACTCCACATTTGATTGGTAAATTCCAAAACGGCGTTCCCATTCATCCCTATCCTTGTATGCTCGGCCATGATTTTCCAGCCACTTTTCGTACCTCTCCTTCATGGGTTCGAGATCATAATCTGGATTTTCCTGTTCCTCAGAAAATATTCTTGAAGGTATGCATAGAATCCATAAAATTACAAGAGTCAAACAAGAACTCCTCAAGACAAAAGGTGCACCCATGGCTACAGACAAAAGGTGATCACAAATGGAAACTTGTGTTAGGATGTTTATGCAGAATCACCTGGTAATTAGAGCAGTATGGTTTTTATTTTTGGTTATGTAGTATTTTTCTAGGCATTTCATTTGAGGTTCATCATGCCTCTTTTCATGCCTTCTGCACTTGAAAAAGAATTTCATTAAGGCAAGTATTTTATGCGTCTTTCGTGCAGCTGCCGCTTGTCATGTTTTGTTCACATCTTTTTTTTCATCAGCAATTTAATTTATTTTGCAAGTATTTTATGCATCACTGCTGCTTGTTGGGTATATACAAATCCATTTATTTGGTTTTATTTATTTATTGTATTTTTGTTTATTTATGTTAGCAATTGTACCAAAACTTCCGATCTCAGCAGGCAATGCTCATGCAAATGCCATGAACTCGGGGAAAAAAAAACTGCTGAGAAAAGAATGGGCATTTGAACACGGGACCTTGTGTTGGAAAATTATTTGAAACATGTAAACCATGCTCGGATAAAAAGTGGGCTTATGTTGTGTTTCGATCTTGAACTCACTGTCATTTGTTCTGATGACAGAGCTATCTAGTGTTTGTATTTTTCTTGGCAGTTTGTCAATGTGCTTAACATTTTTTTGTTTGTTTGGTAAATTTTGCTAAATGGGCGTTGGAGTTGCATACAAGAGGGCGGGGGATAGGAAGGATTATTTTATTCCTAGATACAGGTGTTTGGTTCACATTTTGTGACCCAGGGCTGAGATATAATTTATCATGACGGCCATTTTATTTCGTATATGTAGAATTATTTTATCCAGGAAACGTTTTAAATAGTATTAGTGGAAATGTAATGTAAAATTGGAGAACGCGATATTGAAGATTTTGGGGCCTGCTAAAAACATTGTGCTGTATGACTGAAAGTAATACACACTTTTTTGGAATTTTTAGCCATTATCGAAGTAAATAATAAGATCAAGACTTTTATGTGTCATTGTAATATGCTGATTTACATTGATGTCTCTCTCTATATGCTGATTTGCATTTGCATTTATAAATTTAAGATGAATGGATTTCGTATTACTCATTCAATGATTATAACATTTTATTCAATGTTATATTTTAGATGTAGGTTTCAAAAATATTTAAATTCTTTAAAAATGGGACGAATGATTCTTCTGATACAAAAATATTAATGAAATGTCTCTCTCTTATTACTATGACATCCTTTACTTTAAAATTATCAATTACCTATATAAAATTTCTATAATTTTAAAAAATTTAACATCAAATCTCTCAATTTCAAGTCCAAAGTTGCCTAAAATTCGATTTCAAAACCTAAATTATGATATTGACTTGTGTTCAATTTTGCAAGTGCGATCTCTGATAAAGGAAGTTTCACCTTGACACTTGAGAATTCATCATAACTCAACAAAATAGGTGTCTAGCATCTTTTCAGGAAAAAAATGATTAATTTATAAACAGGGAGTTATAATGAGGGCAGGAAAGGTTTCAAGAGAAAATGCTGGAGGGCCCAAAACATCTCCAAAAAAATAAAAAAAAGTACTAGATAATCATTAGACAATTTTCCTACGATGAAGTGATTTGTATTATACGTAATCCTAACAACAACACGGAAGGTTGTATATATTTGGTTTTTTTCTAAACTCTATAATGGCCACAACCCGAGTTGTATAGATTAATTTATTTATTTTTCTCTTTGTAGTTTTGAGATGAGCGCCTAAAGAAGCTAAAATCCTTTATTGCAATAACTTTGAAAGTATGATGATTACTTGTCAATCCATTTCGCTTTAATTATTCATATTTAAAACTTGCTTTTCATTCACATAAAAATTTAAAAAAAAAAAAAAAAAATTCCCTAGACATGCTTTATTGGTTGGCACTCCCTTAAGATGAAAGTGGCGGCAAATAAATTGAAAAAGAAAAACTTATCTGTAATCATGATTAGTGCTTCCCAAACACTTGAATTAAACAAATACTAACTAACAAAATATTCCAATCTGAGAGGGGTATGATGGAAGAAGGTGCAGAGAGAGAAGGACACATGCCCTACATGTGGGTATGGTTTGGGGACAAAGTAAAGAAACCTTAGAGCATGCAAACAATTCACATGGCTTCACATTATCCCTTTCAAAGTGCCTCTCTTTTCCCAGCTCATCTCCAAACCCCCCTCCACTATAAGGGCTATAGATATATGAATAAATGTACCTTATTTTAATTATTTTAAAATAATTTAGTCTGATTTTTTAATATTATTATAGATATATATTCATGTATATATATAAAGATTTTTATAAGCTGAAAGTTAATAATAATCAAAAAATTAAAATTAAAATTACTATTTTTTTTGCTTCCTTATAATTATTTTTTGATTTTAAATATAAGCTATTTTTACATAAACAAAAATTACACTAAACACTTTAATACACATATTTTTAAAATAAATTAATTATAAATAACCTTATAAACTGAACCAAAAGGACCATGGCCAATCCATAGGCACACATGGTCATGATTTCATTTGACAGGTACACATTCCTAAATGCATGCAATTTGTTTAGGCTATTTGGGTATGATTAAAATCATTTTGGATATGATCAATCACTTTGAGTTGTAATTAAATCAGCATTTTAAATTGTAATTAACACCATTCTCAATAGTAATCAAATATAATTTTAAACTAACTAACATTACTTTCAGTCACAATTAACACCATTTTAAGTCGTAATTAAATAGTATTTTGAATCATAATCAAGACTAACCCACAATAATTTGATGATATTAATCAAACTCCACCAACACTAGTTTAAGACATAATTAACACGACATTACACACACTTTCAAAGGCTATGTACAATAGAATCGGGGGTGTTTGCGGTTCGGTTTTAGACAATACAGTTTGCGTTTGGACCCGTCCGTATATGTGCGATTTGGGATAAATTGAACCTGCAACAACCTGCAGTGTGGGTTGCGGTTTGTGCAGATAGAGTTTGCGGATGTGAGGGCGGTTTGCGGATTGAACTTTTTTCTTTAGAAAATTATTTTTAGGTCTTTTTTTTTTTCTCCATTTTGTAAATATTTATTTTGGGTCATTTTTCCCCTATTTTCTAAAATGCTCAACATTAATAATTAATGAATTAAAACTTATAAAATTAAAAACACAACAAAATCAATTCCTAACATAAACAAATCATTCAAAATCAGAAAATCATTTCGAGTAAATTTTGCTTCATTATCTATACTATCCATATATTATATTATGTAATGTCAGCACACTCTTTAGTTTGAATCAGAAAATGAAGTTGTGTAACACTTTTTTCTTTTCCCTAAACAGTCCAATAAATATTGCTTTTTTACCGAGTATGCTTGATTTTCATTAGCTTTGTGGAAATATGGAAACTTGGCTCTTCTGAACTCTGCTCCTATGCAAACTCTCCTACTGGTACAAAACATTTGTAACCGCATAACTGTGGCTGAGAATGAAGAAGTCTATCAATTACTATTTCAAAATCAAGGCCCTCCCCCAAAACATTGGCTTTGAAGCATAATGATTATGGTTTTCAGAATCCTATTTCACAAAAACTACTTTCTTGGAATAGCAAAATTCTAGCATTCCAACCAAGAATCAGTTGTAATTTATTCGGGTCTTGTCATTGAAGATTTTTCCCTATTAAAATTTGATGCTACCAATCATCACAAAAAACAGTTCAAGCATTATGTTCTCTACTTCCTCTTAATTGCATTGATTATTTGATTATATCTAACTATCTAACTATTGCATAAAGCCAACCATACTTGGTGTAGATGTCAAAAATCAAACAACACAAAAAAGAAATAAAATAATAATAATAATAATTGAAGGCTTCACAAGATCCATAAACAAAAAATAAGCAAACGGCAATAACATCAGCATCCGAAAGGTGAAAAAAAGGAAACCGAAATGTGAACAAAATCATGCAAATTAATAAAGCATTTGAGTGACATACAAACACAGAACACATGCATGCACATATATAAATAGTAAAAAAAAAAAAAAAAACTATGTTATTGAAGCGAACCCTATTTCAGAAAACAAAAAACGGAAGCAGAAAATCAAGAGAGGAAAAGAAAGGAGACCTGTAACGGGAATGGAAGGGGGAGATGATGAAGGGACGAAGCTTGGATTTGCGATTGGAATGGGCACCGAGAGAAGGAAGAATACAGTGGAGAGAGTGGTGTAAAAGGTTCGTTCGTCGTCTCTAGAAAGATGATCCAACTCACTATTACCAAACTCTTTATCCCTTCTCCGCATATTCGAAATCGCTCTGAGACCGATCTGAGAAATCAAGCACAGCCTCTCCTAAGATCACTTCCTCTGCGATCGAAACCAACCCCTCTTCTCTCTTCACAATCTCCCAGAGCTTCAGAGCTTCAGAGTGACATCGCAGAGAACAAAGGATGAATCGAGACAGAGAGAGAGAGAGAGAGAGAAAGGAGAGTGGAGCTTCAGAGTTTCAAATCAAAATCGCTCTGATGAATCTGTATGAATCTCAAAGATGAATCTCAAACAAAATTGCTCTGAATCGAAATTGCTCTCAAGGGTTTAGAAGCAATTGGGGATGAGCAAATGAGAGGTGTGAGGAATGTGAAGGCGTGTGATTCAAAATAATGGTTTACAAAGCTTTAACAAGTATTCACAAATTCAAAATAGGCGCGTGAGGCGCAACGTATTTGGAGGCGTTTTTAAACGCCTCCTATGCCAAAACGGTGTCGTTTTATTAAAGGAATATGTGACGTGTTTATAAAACGTCGTTAAATATTAATTAAAGTGGCGTTTGAAAAAACGCCGTTAAAAAAACGCCCCCTAAACCTATTTTTCCTGTAGTGGCGGTTCTCCCGCTGTTTCTACATTAGGACGACATACAAGTGCAACAGCTCTCCCGTAGTCAAAAGACATTGGGACGACATGCAAGTGTAGTGGCTCTCCCGTCGTTTCAACATTCGGACAACATGCAGGTGCAACGGCTCTCCCACCATTCAAACATTGGGACGACATATAAGTGCAAAGGCTCTCCCGCAGTCAAAAGACATTGGGACGACATTCAAGTGTAGCGGCTCTCCCGCCATTCAAACACTTACATGTGCAGGCTCTCCCGTAGTCACAAGACATTGGGACTAGGAAGCACGGGTGCGGGTACGAGTACGGTACGGGTACGCCGATACGGCAAAATCCCAAAAAAGTATGATACGGGTACGGTTGCGGTACGTCGATATTTTTTTTTTTTTTTTTAATTATGGTTAAGGGATCCAACCTACAGGCAGATAACTTAAAACCATTGTTGAAATTAACCAATGTTGAAACAGGCAGATAACTTAA